GGGAGAGTATAACAGGGTAATTTAGTGTTATCAACTGAGTTAATAACGTAAATTGACCAGTAATTACTTCGTCTATCGCTCTGACGAAGGACTAACGCTCGAAACGTCAGCTTGTAAACTCTTCATGGTGGCCAATTTAAGCTATCAACTCAGTTAAAAATGCTAAATTACCCGGTTTCACAATACAAAGGCTGGTAGATGAACACCAATGACATAAATAACTCAAATAAACCATTATAAGGTTTAAAATCCCAACTGGTAGAAAAGCTTTCATGCAATTCGAATCTTGAGACGGCTCATTTGGACAGCAGTCCGCGAACTCAAAAAGCTTCTCTTATCTTGGAGAGCGAATTGAAAAATTTGAGAAGTGAAATTCCTCTTTTAGGCATTTCTAAATCGAACGGCGATATCTTGGGCAACATTAGCATAAATCAATCTGTTGATACGGCTGTAACACTGAAATCGACTTTCTACTAAGCTTATACAATCAATAAACTACAAAAAAAAGGCCTAACATTGGTTTCGTTGAGATAAAATATTTCGCCTAACGAAACATCGTGTTACCTTCAGACGGTCCTACCCGAGGACCCCTTCCGTTATGTGCGTCCCCGCGTCTGTTACCTGTCACTGCATCGCTAAAAGTCTTTGAGGAGGAATCGCTATGCGATGTCAAAGGGTCACTAACATCATTTGTCTCACTTTTTTCTTTCTTCTTCCCCCTTTTTGACCTTGGGGGTTTGGATGTCATTGTGCCAGCCGCCAGAGACTGATCTTTTTGGATTTGGAAGAACTCAATGAATTCTTTCTTGAACACTTTCACTGTCGGATCATCGATGATCACGAATCTAATATCGGTCAAAATCGCCTTTGAAGGATCTCGCGTGATGTATTCTTTCACGGCTTCAAACATAACTTTTGCGCTGACCTCTTTCGGCATGCCAAAGAGTCCTGAGCTGATCGCTGGAAAGGCGATGGACTTGCACTTCCTGTTGCTTGCAGCTGCTGTGAGACTTTTCGAACAAGCCATTTTTAGAGCTCTCTTGCATTTCTCTTCATCTGATCTTCTCCACACAGGACCTACCGCATGGATGATTTTTTTACATGTTAGTTTGCCAGGCCCAGTCACGGCTACTTCACCATCGTTCACGGGTCCATAGCGAGAGATGTAGTTATCCGACTCTTTCTGTATACCATAACCCCCTTTATCGATGATTGCCCCTGCTACTCCGGCACCATGACTGAGTCTGTTATTAGCTGCATTCACTATCACATCGACGTTTTGATCCGTGATGTCACCCTTAATAACAGAAAGCTTAACTGAACCTACGAAACGCAAGAGTTGATTTTAAGTAGCAAGAATATTTCAAACCACTTCTACGTTTATGTAATGTAGAGCTTACGCCTCAGTGTTACTATCCTTGAGTAGATAAAGAATTATAAACATGTTTCAAAATTGTTATTTTGAAACATATTTAAACAACCTTGCAAGGTTTAAGGTAATGTTTATCATGTAAAATTGCACACCTTCAGTACCAACATTTCAGGTAAACACACTTCTAGAGGTTAGCTTAAACTAATACTGAAATGCTAAGTTCGTCTGTCTTCTCAGAGAAAAGATCATGTGAGAAAACGCCTACAATTGTTTAGATACACAATGATATGAACATATCATTATTCCACTAGTACGCTGTTGTAATGTGATATTAGGCCAACAGAACGCGCAAAATATGCGACGGTATATTACAAAAAAAGCGAAGCGAAAGTAAAATATTACCGCACTAAACGATCTGAACCTTGACCTGTTTACGTCTTTAGAGCGTGACTTTTTAACAGAGGAACTTTTAACTGAAACATATTTATGACATGAACAGAACGAAACTTCGGAAACAGGAAAATTCTATTTTTAAAATTACAGAGCAAACAGAAAGAACCAAACAGTATCTAAAAGTCGAAGACGTCAACAATTTCTGACAAACCATAAGGACAAAATAACAACAAACCACCGAAATTAAAAGAAACGAAGGTTCAGAGCCCGCGTAACAAGAGCAGCCTCGTAATGAAACACCATACGGTATTCTGTGCACAGTTTGGTTTAACAATGTCCTATTCTTGGCTGGCCGTGCACGCAACTAACGTCATCGAATCAAGATTATAAATTCAAATAACCGCGAACACTTCAAATGTAAACCTAATGATCCCATATTTGTAGAATTATGACATACATCAATGTTGTATTTACCTAGAATGTGTTCCAACTGATCTTCATTTCCAAAGTTCTCGTCATCCTCATCTGTTCCATCTCTACACCAGGCCCCTGCTTCCTGTGCTGTCCGATCGATCAGATCCTCTTTCTGGAGGTCTGTTAGAAATTTCTCGACAAAAATTTCTTCACCATAGACTTTCCAGTGTTTCTGGTCTTTACAAATCTCAATTGATAAGGGTTGTGCCTTACCCACGGTCCGGATACGTTGCCTGACACGTACTGGTGACTGTTGGTCTCTGGGAGCGAATTCTACCAGCTTCATGCACTTATGAACATTTTGATAAAGAGTGATGAAAGCTTCGCATCCCTCGAAGAATTTTTCAGTGGAGCAGTGTTTAGTTGGTTCAACGGTAACTTTGTTGTCGGTGGCAACCCTGTGTACTTTTATTTCATAATCATGCTCGATTTCTTGCAATTCTTTGTCGTGTGCGTTGACAAACAAACGGAAAAACTCTTCTGTCGTTTCGTACTGTTGAGGTTTCATATCTGCACATTCTTGGTCTTCAAAGTTAACACCGGTTCCTGAGCCCTTTCCAGGGCCTGTTTCTCCTGTTTCATCAGCCTCATTTGATGTGGCATCTGAAACTTTTGCAACCTTCTTTGTCTTGTGGAACCCATCAGGAAGTAACGATCTAAAATCTCTCTGAAAGTTTTCCAAGTACTGACTCCGCAAATCTCCACTTTTTTTTACCTGTTGGAACTTCCCTGAAAGTACGAAGCTTTCACTTGCATCGTGGAAGTCGATGTCGGTCTCTTCCTTGAC